AGATTTTATAGCAAAGTGTGTATGGAGACAAATTGAAACAAAGAAAAATTTTGGAGATATTTGACCTCTGAAGTGTAATTGTAGAAATTTGATTACAGCTCAAATAGCTACATCATTAATAAAGATGGTTAGCAGTTGTTAAGAATGTCAGAGAAGCTTGAAATTAAGTCGTTTTTCAGATCTTGCATTGTTAGAGACTTTACATTTTATTCTGAGAACTAATATTAGAATATTGTAATTTAAGGTAAAATTTAAAATGAAAAAATGTTAATAGAATACATTTGAGAAATACTTCCCTTATAATGCATTTTATAATAGCTTTATTGCAATGATAAGAGAAATGAGGAAGTTATTACATATTTTTAAATATTGGAAATGTGCTCAGTAGCTTTAGTTTGTGTTGTAAAAGAAAAGCAGAAATCCTGACCACTGGGCTTAACATTGAATGAAACCTTTAGTAGAGAATAAAATTAGAGGTCTTGCATTGTGCCATAGACAGTAGAGCTCAAGATTTAACTCAGCATGGCAGTCTTGTGTGCCTGCTTTTAATGGGGTAGATACCGTTTTATGAGACCACCAGATCCCATGAAAGATGCATTGTCTGTCGCAACCTGTTGAAAATCAGAATTCTCCTTTTAGTGCCAGCTGTTCTCATATCCATCCATCCATCCATCCATCCATCCATCCATCCATCCATCCTCCCCTTCCTTCCTCTCTGTCCCCTCTCTCCCATTCCCCAGCTCAGGGTACTTACTGGTCCAAATATAGGAGAAGGATCCTTTTTTATGCACTTATAATGAATGACTTTTGTGTGCCCAAGAGCTTTAGGAATTAAGGCTGCTAACTGTCATAGAGGACTTCTGTCGTCTTCTGTGTGGGGAATAGTATGAGGAGAGCTGTTTCCATATTTTTTCTTTCTCTGAAGTTACCTTGTTATAGCCATTTATACTGGTCGAACTAAAAAGATGGGTAAGTAGTTTCCTTGGAAATATAGAGCTCAGACCCACATTGAAGAAGTTTCAAAGACATACAAGTAGGAGAGGCAGCCGCGAAACCAACAGCTCTAAACAGGTGCTGGAGTATAAATGTGGTTAGAGGCTCAAGGCAGGGGGCTCTGAACACTGCTGCTCTCCGCTTCATTTTACAACAGTGTTTTCATTTCTCTTTGACCAATTAATTAATCTTACCGGAAGCTATTGCACAAAAATCATCAGAAACAATAGTAATAATTTATCGCCATGTTATTTAAGCACTGAAAAATTAGAAAGAGCTTAGATGTGTATCTTTAAGTTTCTACAGTGGGCCTGTCAGCATCATGAAAAAAAATACTTGGCTATATTTTTTTAGCTGCCTTTTAAATGAATATTAGTATTAACATTATTTTATTACATTAATACTATAACAAAATAGTATTGTAATCACATGTGAAAGGATCCATCCAAAGTCTCAATAATTTCAAGTAACCACTAAACTGGACTTTTTCATGTTTTTTCTTGTTTGTTTTAATTTATCTTTGTTGTTGAAAGTATTACAGATGCCCCCTTTTTTTCTGCCATTAACCCCTCTCTGCTCCCCACTCCTCCCTCCCCCAAGGCCTTCCCCACACTATTGTGTGTGTCAATGGGTTATGCATATATACATATAAGTTCTGTGGTTAATCTCTTCCCCTTCCTCTGAGATCTGTCATTTTGTTCCATTCCATGCTTCTATGTCTCTGGATCTGTTTTGTTCATCAGTTTATTTTGTGCATTAGATTCCACATACGAGTGAAATCATGTGATGCTTGTCTTTCTCTGACTAGCTTATTTCGCTTAGCATAATACTTTCCAGGTCCCGCCATGCTGTCTCAAAGGTGGATATTTTTCTTCATTGTTTTCGATGAATATATATTTTAAAATGTTGATTATATTTCACCAATTTTTTTTTTTTTTTGCTAAATGTGTTTTGGGATAGCTACTCTGTCCCTCACTTCTTTATTATTCTGAATTCTCAAATTTATATTTTATCTTTCTCTTAACATTTGTCCTTCACTATTTCTTTCTAAATCTTATTTCCATGCAAAGTAATTAATTTGTTTAAATGTCTCTTGCAGCGAAGATTTAATTTATCTTCTTAGGTATCTTGAAACTCTGCCTTTTGTTATTTTTGCCTCATAGAGGCTTTTTCCATCAGCAGGAATGAAAGCCGTCAATAAAAATCAATTGCTGACACAAAGACTGTATGGAGGTTTACCATAATGCGTATTGGAAATGTCTTTGAAATCCTTTTCCTGAATGGAAGGTGCCATGGCTTGTGTTTTATGGCTTTCTAATGTTAGACCGTAATCTCATTTAGCATTTTCCCAAAGTGAAAATGTTGCATTAGGGCAGCATAACAAGCATTGCAGATCAATACGAGGCAGCGCTGCCCTATAGATTAATCCAAGAAAAATGTGCCAGAGTCTCCTCCAGGAACTGGGGAACAGTTATGTTGATCCTCCACTCCTTCCCCCCTTTCTGCCATCTACTCACCAATACAGGTTGAAAAGTATACAAAAAATTTTCAGATATCTTAACGCGCGCGCGCGCACACACACACACACACACACACACACACACACACACACATGCTCACGCTCCAGACCACTGGATAGGAAGTCAAGGGCCCTGGGAGTGAGTAGCATTGATTTGTGGTAAAAGTATGTTTTGACACATTTCAAAAGATAAATAACTCATGGACTTTAACTTGCATGATAAATAGCTCAACGCAGGGTAAATGCTTATATACAACTTAAATGACCTCTTTCTAAGGAGTTCATAGCATTAGATGAGTCCCACTGTGAATCGTCTTTTTAAAAGCAAAAAGCCCATCTTCTGTCGGATGTGCAGAGTGTGGAAGCTCATTTTTCACAGTTTTTTCTTCTAGGTAACAGGGAAGGGCTATATATCTGGTCAGAGTTGTTCTCGCCTCCTCTCCCCATTCCCCTTTTAAAGCTAAGATATGTTGGGCAGAGGGTGTTCCTCAATACTAGGAGTATAAATGTGTTTATACTCCTGCTTTCCTGGGAACTAATATGGGCATTAGTCGTGTGTGTGCGAGGTTGGGCTGACCTCTTCGAAGTCATATTTCACTCAGCCTTTACCCAGATGTGCGTCTTGCTGAAGTCTGGGCCTCCGCTCTTGGAAGCACAGCTGACTCCTTTTAGATGCTGATGCTCACGGCAGGGGATTAAGGAAATCCATGTCCAGAAAAATCCACAGACATCTGAACTTTGAAATCTTAAAGAGAATTGAAACTCCTGGGATTGGATTTCAGTTCTGTTCTTAGATATTTGGCAGAGCAGTGAGGGAATGAATAAAAAAGTAAAAGCAAAGCTATGTAAAATTTGTGGGATTATTTTTCCCCTGTGTGTCTACTTTCCTTAGAGGGTAATAAGAAGTAAATTCCCTCGGGGACCAGTAACGTGGTTTGCATTTCAGTATTCTATTGTAGCAAAATATATATTGGCTTAGTGTGTTGGATAAAAGTAATGAGGAGACAAATTGTCACCCAGGGGTTTCTTTATTGATGGGATATAGTCCTCCTGTGTTCTCTAGGGGTTTTTTAGAATCCATTAAATTTAAAAATAATGCTATTTCAAGATTACTATGGCAATGACAAAATTTAAATTTCAAAAAAAGAACTGGTATGAGAGACTGGAAGCCTTTTGTATTAAGCAAAACTAATTTGAAAAAAAAAATATGAATTCCTAGATTAAAAGTGTTAATAGTATGTGTTTTCTTTGTGTTTAGTTCTTATAATCAAAGTTCCTCTACCATCTTAAGACTATTTCATTTTGGTTTGTATAATTCATTTGATTTATTTTGTTATCATTTCTCAAGTCTATATGATAAACTTTTTTGGAAGCACTTAAGCTAGGTACTGCATATTCACTGAAAGCAATCTAACTAAAATTTGAGATTTGTAAGTATATATAATTAGTAAAATGTGAGCCCAGGAATTAAAATTTTTTTTTCTCTCCACCCATTTGTATTCTCAACAACTAATTGCATGACTTCTCTAAGAGGTATCCTTTTCAGTAGCTGAGGTCACAAAGAAAATAAGACAGTTCTCCTTGGGATTTGCATCCTAGTAAATGTAGGCTAGTAAGTGCGCATAGTGTACATAGACTATAGTCAGCATTAAGTGCCCGGTGAAAGACTGAAAGACGTTAATACAAGGTCAGCGGGGCTCACCATAGAGAGGGGTAGACTCTACCATGATGGGAGAGGGAGTGAAAGCTGTATAGAGACAGTTACACTTAAAAGACGCGTAGGTATTTTCCACATGTATGGATGGGAGTTTGGGTGCAGAGCATTCCCGAAATCAAGAGCCACATGAGCTAAGATGTGAAGGGACACGTGAGAACCAAACCCGGAAATGGTTTGGTCAGACTGCAGCACGTGGGGAATGAAGGCTAAAGAGTCGGCAGGAACCCAATGAAGACCTGCTGGTTGACCTTGCATTTTATTTAGAAAGCTGTCTCAGATTTATGTATTAGAACCTTCTGGAAGGCAGGAGCTGGAGGTGAAAGCTGAGAGACAGAGAGTGCAGTTGGGAGGTCACAGAATCCAGGATAGAAATGTGAGGACAGTGTGTATGGGGAAAGAAACCAGAATGTAGGGGGTCGAACTTTGTGACCCGGTGGGTGTTGGGGTGGAAGAGAGAAGGTACGGCTCCCGGGCTTCTGGTCTGGCTGACTGTGCCCAAGAGTATGAGCGCCATTTGCCTGGTCCGGGCTTTGGTCTGGCGGGAAGGTTTTAGTGTCCAGAGAGGCTTGTGGTTGTGTCAGCTAATGGAACTAATTTCAGAGAAATTGTTTACCTTGTGTATTCTTCAAGGTTGAAGAAAATGATTTCTCTTAAACTTTGTTTTCTACATTTGAAACATTTATCTTATTTAATGTTTTATACATTCTTTGGCCTCGACCTTTACTCTGACTGAAGACCATCTGCCTCAGCGATCCCTGTTTTTGTTTGCAGGCGGTATGAGGTTCACCCGGTCTGTGCGGATCTGCAGGCCAAGATTCTCCAGTGCTACCGCCAGAACACCCAGCAGACCCTCCGCTGCTCTGCGCTGGCCAGCCAGTACATGCGCTGTGTCAATCAGGCCAAACAGGTGGGTGTGCAGCCGCTCCCGGCACCAGTGGAAGCGTGCCCAGTGTCCTGGCACAGTGGTAAGGATGTCACGGGCTAATGTGTGTGAAAAAGCTTTATAAACCAAACTAGTCGTCATCATCAAGAATTGCCGTGACAAGTCGGTTAGGCTGTAATCAACTTCCATCCAGATGTTTGTAAGAGCCTGTATTCGCCTTGTGCTCAACTCCTTACTTTCAGAAAGAAAAAAAAAAGATTCTTACTACAATAATACTTTTCCCAGTCATTCTGAACTTTTGTCCTCTATAATAATTGTGTCTTCAAGGTCATTGCTCCCTATTTCTGGGCCAATACTCAAAGCCAGCAATGAGGAATGATACAAGTTCAGGGGCCAGCAGCTTTGGGTCTATAAGCAGCAAGTAGACATGTGGAGAGCCTGGTTTAAAACAAACAAAAAACTAAAACAAAAACTTACCATTCAATCTTCTACCAGTTGGTAGAGTCTACTCACTTGGCCAGGGAAAGGGAGGCCAGGAGCAGGATTTAGGAAATATTTCCATCACTTTTTATACCAGAGCTGTATTCTTCTCTGGACCCTTCATTATCAGAATAAGGTGATGTTCACAGGACATGTGTTTTCTCTCATTTATGTACTTTAGAAAGCTCATGATGAACTCTGAAGCCAATGATCAATTCTGGCCGGTCACATAATTGCCTATCATTTAACTGATTTAACAGTTGCATGTAGGCTGTTCTGAGACAGAAATTGTTGGAAACCTTGATTCTTTCTGCTGCTAAACTCCCCGGAGTTGACCTTCTAGCCCAACTAAATCTGGTGCTTGAGCTACACAGCATGCCTTTCTGCAGTCTGATTTGCCGTAGTTATAATAATACCACTTAGCATAAATTTCTAACATTCCTTCTGATGGGAGGATTGGTATTACCTGCATAGCTGGGCAATAACGGCAATGCTAGTGGTCCTCCTTAGCCATGGTTTCGCTTGCCACAGTTTCAGCCATCCGCGGTCAGCCGCGGTCTGAAAATATTACATGCAAAATTCCAGAAGTGAACGATTCTTAAGTTTTAAATTGCACTGTTCTGAGTAGTGTGATGAAACTTTGGGCCATCCCACTCCATTCTTCCTGAGATGGGAATCGTCCCTTTGTCCAGTGCATTCACACTGTACATACAGTACAATAAGATGTTTTGAGAGAGAGATATAGGGAGACCACATTCACATACCTTTTATTACAGTAAATTGCTATAATTGTTTAATTTTATTAGTTGTTGTTACTCACTGTGTCTAATTTATAAATTAAATGTTCTCATAGGTATGTATGTGTGTATAGGAAGAAACTATAGTATATCTGTGGTGCTTTTGTCTAATCCATTAGACAAAGTGTGCATCCCCTGGAAGTACTGGAACATATTGCAGATAAGGGAGGACTACTGTTACTAAGATGTATTAAAAGCCTATGTTGTCTTTGAAAGCCTGATGGCTTGAGGCTTTTTTCTATTTCTTGCTCGTAGTGACACTTGTATAGCTCCTAATAGTACGCCCGGGATTTTTTTCTTTAAAGGTCTTCAGTAGACATAATGTTGATGATGTTGTTATACATTGTATTTGCAAAAGCAGCTTCTGATAGGCTCTTAACAAGCCCAGCATTCAATATTAATACCAACGGAGCATTTGGGACCGGCAAGTTGGCGCATGGGCTTTTCTGACCTGATATCAGTGCTGTATGGAGGTGGAGGTGGCAGCCGGGCTAGGAATGGCCGTGATAAAGTGGATGTTTTGGGGCTGGTGTCTAACGCAGGTGCCCGTCTCCCCAGCGTGACCTGTAGCATCACTAGTGGCAGCTGCAAAGGCATCTGGGGTATTGACTCCATCCTGCCTGTCTGATGTGTTGAATCATCCTCCCATAGCCCCATGAGATCGATGACATACATCTATGGAATAAAACAAAGTTAACTTGCGACACAATCAGATAGGCCATGTGGGACAATTGAGAGTTCAAGTGTGCAGATCCGAGTTTATATCCGAGCTGTGTCTCTTACTAGCTCTCTGACCTTGGGCCTTGATTTTTCTCGTATGTGAATTGGGGCAATGTTATCTCCAGTGTTGTTGTAAGGATTACATTTATATACAGTATTCATAAATCTTATTGTTTCCTTTTCTACTCAGTTGTATATTTCATGCTGAAACCAACTGAATGGATTAGACAAAAGCATCAGATTATTAGTAGCGATTCCGAGACCCTCCTGTCCCCCTACCCAACCTGCAATATGATTTAACACTGTTGTCAGCAAACATCTTTCCAGCACCTATTGTTTTGACCACTCTTGCTTTCAGGTATTAGGGAGTATAACACTGGTAATATTAAAAATATGTATGTCCACAAAACGTTTTTATCCTAAAATGGGCAACACTGAAATGGGCAAGAACCAAGAAACATTAATACCTTGTATTTCTTTCTATAGTACTTTAGATTTCAAGGTGATTTCACATCCATTCTTTTACTTGTTTTTGGTGTTTGTTTGTTTATCCTTACCCGAGGATATGTTTTACTGATTTCAGAGAGAGGAAGAGGGAGGTATGAGAGAAACATCGATCAGTTTCCTCCCGAACGAGCCCCCACCAGGGATCAAGCCCGCCACCCAGCCATGTGCCCTGACCGGGAATCAAACCTTTCAGTGCACGGGATGACGCGCTAACCAACCGAGCCACCCAGCCAAGGCCTCTGGCTTGTTTTTGATGACAACCTGAGATGTAAAGAGAGATGATTTTGTTCTCTTCATTTTACAGTTGAGAGAATTGAAACCCGGGGAAGTCATGATGTTAAATTTAACAACTAAACCAAAATATACCTTGCCATCAAAACAAAAAATTTAAAAATAGTGTTTGACTTTTGAGTTGGGTGCATGAAGGTGCATCCATCATCCACCAATACAGATATAAGGCAATGAGGGAAAATGTGTACAATAATCATGACTTGAAGGGAAACACCGTGAAGATCAAATTAAGTAGTTTGTTCTAGAGGCTGAAGGTAACCAATGGGGAGTGGAATTGCAGAGGGGCAAGCAAAGGGGTAGTTCCTCACGGCCCCATTTTAAGTCCTCGCCAGAATGGCCACAGGGAGTTATATCAGCACTTTGTGTGTACTCTTCCTCTGATACCACCTTTCCTTTTTCTCCTTGTCGAGTTAGTCTGAGTGCTGTCCCCAGCGCTCCCGCTGTTAGAAGAGTCTCTGACAGGACATCTGGTCCTGGTCATCTACTGCAGTTCCTGCCTGGGCCCCACCCCTTCTTATGTTTCCTTGTTACATCCAAAGAGCAAGCTGGACACGCCAACATAGAAAGCACTGACCATGACAACAGCCCATTAGGTTGCCCTGTCCATTTCCGGTGTATTGCATGAGTTTTCCCCTTGGAATAATTCCAACAGCCAAGTCCACTCCACTTTTAAATGACTCATAAGATGGGGCTTTCACTGGTGTCCTTGGGGCATTGTTCTGAGACTAATAGACTTTAATGATAGGAAGATTTCCGGATATTCCTTAGCCCTACTTTTCTCCTTTCTTAGTCATCCACGGATTCACATCAGTCTTTTTTCAGCTATTCTTGAACAGTTCCTCATGGGTTGACAGGAGACATTTAGACTGTTACTTCCAATATAATAAGTATGCGTCTTCACGGAGGTAAAGAGATATTAAATTGCTATAATTATTATATCAAAGACTTAAAAGCTACTGGCCAGCTAGATGAGATACAACATTTAAAAATGTAGGGGGATGTCAATTGGTAGACTTCTGTGTCTTTTATTTCTCATATCTGCTTAGCCCCATAGCTTGTAAAAACTCCCCAAGATTGAACTACCTGTTCTTTACCGTTAAAACCCAATTCCCATTTAATCTTCTTTCACCTACCTTACAGGAGACTGGAGGGAGGCAGAGGTGGGAAGCCAATAGTAATTGCCCGCTAGTGGCCCAAATGTGCCCAGGTGCTGTTTATAAAAAGGGTGTGTGTGGAAAGGGCTTGCTCTCAGAAGATCTGCATTCCTGTGCTCCGTGGGACACCCCACTCACTGTCCCTCAATTTGCTTGCAGAATCCAGCTCCTGAGGGGCGAGGGAGGTAGTGATTCTAAGCATTCTGGCTCTGTCTCAGCCCTGCTGATACTGACAGAAACCTATGGAGCCGGCTGGACTCCTGGGAGCAGTCTCTGGTTCACTGGAGGGTAGTTTGTGGGAAGTGCTGTAGCCAACACCAGCCTGGTCTTGGCGACCTGGGCTTCAGTTGCTTCCTTGGGAAATTAAGGGTTGAACTAGGTGATGCGCGAGGGCCTTCCTCTGTTACCTAGACGATTCTCCGTCCACCTGTGAGAGCAGGCGGTAGTGCACACAGGCTCACCTGTTGGTGAGCACTTTGATGTGAGGAGCTGTGGCTCGTGGGTACCAGCAGCACCCCTGCTCTGGGGGCCTCCAGCCTGTTCGATTCTGCTGTCAGCCAGAAGCTTTCACTCTGGAAGCACAGCTGCATTTCCCATCAGTCTGCCTGTCGTCTGGCTTCCCACAGCTGCACCCTTTCCTGGGAAGTTGTACACCTGTCAGCCCCGGGGAAGCAAGGTGGCAGAATGAACTTGGGAGGGGGTGAAAACAGTTTCCAAGTCTCTCCTAAGTCAGTGAAGTGAAAAATGGGAATCTCAGCGCTGCCTGGCAGAGTGTAGGCTACCGGCTAATCAAGTGCATTCGGAAATGCAGGCGGAGTACCTGAGCCACCCTAGGCCCCTCTGGGACTGCAATGGCTTTCACCCTGTGTGCCACGGGCGGTGAGGGACTGTGAGGTCAGAGCAGAAGAGCCAAAGAAAGTCCAGGACAAGATGCAAGGGCCAGACCCAGGAGATGCCCAGAGGACAGAGGCAGGTGCAGCCCGGAGGCAGGTGATGGAGCCAGGCAGGAGTCGATGAACCATGGCAGAGGTTGAATTCAACAAGTGGGCCATAGGCAGGCAAGCAGCTGGCTGAA